GCATGCCTGTAGTCCCAGCTACTTGGGAGGCTGAGGCAGTAGGATGGCTTGAGCCCAGGAGTTTGAGGTTGCTGTGAGCTAGGATGACGCCACGACACTCTAGCCTAGGCAACACAGTGAGACTCTGTCTCAAAAAAAAAAAAAAAAGAAAAAAAAGGTAGCTAATAACGGTATAGCCATAAAAGCTTACAGATAATAATCAGAGGAAAAACATTTTGGACAACTGACTGCTAACTCTAAACCAGCATTTTACATTCAATTTTTACGTAGACAATGATAGATCTATAGCAAAATTTGCTTTGTTGCTTTATATCCCCATTAAATCACTTGCTCTTGCCCTGGTGACCTCACTTATTGCCATAAACTTTATTTTTCTGAAAGTTTCTTTCTATGCCAATCTTTTAAGTATACAAATTTCCTTTTGTGGCTTTACTTATGTTCAAGATTCGTGGTTTCCACTAATCTTCCACTTCAAATATATACCAACTATGGACCATGAACTCATGGTGTCCTGTAAATTAGTCCCCCAAGTCAGTCACATCCAATTACCCTCTATTCCTACAAACTTTTTCTATTTTTTAGAGATGGAGTCTCACTATGTTGCCCAGGCTGGACTTGAATTCCTGGACTCATGTGATCCTCCTGCCTTGGCCTCCCAAGCAGCTAGGACTACAGGTACACACCACCATGCCCAGTTTATTCCCACGAAATTTATTAATATATCCCAAATAGAATTTTCATGGTATTGTCTCTAAGCTTCTGATTAATCTATTTCATATCCAAATGTAATAACTCCCATTCTTTATCAAATCCCATTCCTCCTATCCCTGACCATAAGGCTCTTTTTCTCATTAACAATTAAAACAAAATTAGCATGCCAAACCCAAATACAAATTACTTAGTCAGTATCTATTATTTTAGATTACATGTACCATCCTTTAGTACAAATATTTAAGTATGGCATGAACTGGTAACAAGCCAATTCTATAGCCCCTAAAAAATCTTA